GAAAAAACACATCCAGAGCACAGCCTTTGTGCATGCTCTCATTAACAGTAGTTGCTCAGTCTGACTCATCATCCCTCCCCCAACAGGAAGAACACCAAAATCCTGCCTTTCTTCTTCCCTTCCATTGTTCTCTGAGCTTCTCCAGTCTCCTAGTACAGGAACTGAACAGCTGACCTGTCTCCTCCTCACTCCCAGAAGACACAGCCTCAGGCTCTGGCTTATCTGCTGGTTGCCTGGCAGCGCTCTGACTTCCAACTCTTCCTCTCCTTGGGAGCTAATAGAGTCTTCCCTGGAAATGAGGGGGGTTGGGTTGTCCTCTCTAAACTCTGACATGCAGCTCTCCTCTGTAGAGTCGGCCCCTTGCTCGCTCAGCTCAATATCTGAGGCTGATTCTTCCGCTGCACTCTGGGGTGGCCACGTTCCTGACATCTACACTGACTGGTAGCAGTTCTCCAGCGTTTCAGACATGGGACATGTCCTGGAGATGCCAGGAACTGATGCCAGGAGCTTCTGAATGCAAAGCAGATGATACAGGCCTATCCCACTATCAGCAGATGATACAGGCCTATCCCACTATCTCACTTGCACCATTTCTGCAAGTGAGAGCACAATCACTTCAGCATTCCTTAATTCACCTTTCCTGTTCATTTCTCTCAAGAGCAGCTTAGGGAATGGGAGTATTATTATTATTATTATTATTATTATTATTATTATTATTGCAAGAACATGATTTGGCATGGTAGGCTCTATATTGACTCCAAGCAGCTTCCCAGTGTTTCTAGATGCTGCTGCTAGCCATATCATGCAGAATTTAGAGTTTGTGGATGTTGGGTTGTGTGTGTGGTTGTGTGGTTTTCTCCACCCCCCCTTTCTTTTTTTAAGCATTCAGCTCTACACAGCAATCATAGAAACTCAGAATATGTCTGAGGACGACATTCTTTTGCTAAGCACTATTTTGGTCTGGTAGTTTTAGTACCAGCCAATGTGTAATTTTAATGAAATTGCAAGCATACTTTTGATATGATTTCATCCAACACCAGCATCTGTGTTGGTTTGACTTAAATCACATTCATATTTCTAGGGCCAAGCCTCAAGAGGACCAGAGTCAGTTTATGAAAGCCTGTATAGTCTTGTTAAAGTTCCTAGGCAACTTTCAGAACACAAATTGAAAACAAGCTGGATTTTAGACTGTGGTTGGCACTAAGGAAAACAGCTATATATGTGTGTGTGTGTGTGTGTGTGTGTGTGTGTGTGTTTGTATGCTGCAGTAAAATGTGAATCTATAAATGAGTCTAAAGCTATAGAAGACTTGCCCAGTGTCTATTGAGTGCTGAGCTTCACAGGCTGTCAATGCAGGCAAAATAAACCATATGTAAGGGCTTCAGATGACAAATTAACCTTTTTACTAAATTTCAAGTATTACTTACCTCGATAAAAAATAAATAAGCTTATTGCAAGATACATATATTAGCTGGATTGAAAGCTTTTAGCTGCATCTATGTAGCAGCATATATGCAAATATAAAACATTATTATTTCTGTTTTCATTGTCTGTTGGAATAATGCACATCTTTTCTGTCAGTGCCGTGGGGCCTCTTAAACCTGACGCAGGTTAGGGCCCCTGCAGGCTGCACTCCTATGCTTGAGGGCAAGACTCATTAAATTGAATGGGATCTTCCGAGTAAACATGTTTAGGTTTTTACAGCATATTTATCCTATCTTTCCCCCCTAAAGCTCTTTGCCACAGTAGGTCGAACATTTCTAGGAAGGAATGGGGTTGTTTCCTTTGTTTCTGACCTTCACACATTCAGAGGAAGGTCTGGGCAGGTAAGATCCATTATCTGCAGCTGGGAGCAGTCAAATGGTAGAATCTGTTCACAGACTCTCTACTCATTGTGTGCAAACTGGGAAAGAAGCAGCAGCACAAACATGGTTCACAAACATGAACGGCCACAACGTTCTCCATCTCCAACGTTCTGCAGGCCGTTTCTGCTGCTTCGATCATCTAAGCACCTGAACTATCAGAATCAGTAATGTGGAGTCATCTCGGATGTAACTGAGAATAGAAGCCAACTGTGCTGATTTTTAGGATCATCTATTGAAAAAGCAATCTTCACTGTGATATTCTATACAGTGGTACCTTGGGTTAAGAACTTAATTCGTTCTGGAGGTCCATTCTTAGCCTGAAGCTGTTCTTAACCTGAGGTACCACTTTAGCTAATGGGGCCTCCCGCTGCCGCCAAGCGATTTCTGTTCTCATCCTGAAGCAAAGGTACTATTTCTGGGTTAGCGGAGTCTGTAACCTGAAGCATCTGTAACCTGAGGTACCACTGTAGTTGCCTCCGTTGGAATGAATTCTTCTGGTCCTGTGTTGCTCCCACTTATTTCAGTTGAGTTTTACAGAGGGAATTCCCAGTGGGCTTCTGCCCATCATGTCTTTATCTCGCCACAGGACGTGAATTTATAAAATTGCTGGGGCGGTGGCGGTGGAATCCTACACACTGCTTTGCATGTAAACAATGGGACAAAAACACAAAGCAATGAGTAATATATACGCTCAGCCACTTTGGCTAGCTATTATTCATTCTATTGTATTCTGCATGATACACATTTTCTTGTGTGCCAAAGAACCAGCAGATGCCTTGTGTACACGCATCAGGCGACTCGTAAATTGCACAGAGAGCGATCAGATAATGTTGTTAATATGACGTACATCAGTGCAATTTCTTTGCTCCTCCCTGTATGATTAATTACAACTAAATTGAGGTTGCCAGCGATGATTAATTTACAAGTTCAGATGCAGAGTAAATGAGCTAAGCAAAACTGAATTGGCATTGTCAGGCTTTTAAAAGGCTGCAACAAAAGATTCCTCTCCACAGCACAACTGACTTCTAGCTTTGCTGAACCGATAATTAAAGCAAAGCATTTCGAACAAATATCTTATTTGTAATTTGTGGTGCTGCTCCTGGACGACATGGTTCCATTAAAATCAGTGGAATTACGCCAAGGGTTTATCTTGTCCTTTTCGATCAAGCTGTCCACTTGAATAAAGAGCCATTCAATGTACATGCTTTTGGGAGTACATATACTGTGTCAGCATTTGATCAGAGAGGGCCAGCTGCGACATTGATCAGACAAGTGAAGGTTCTGTCCTACAGCCCAATCCTGTGCAGTTAGGCACACCTGAATTTGTTGAAATCAATGGACTTAAAGATATGCAGCTTCCGACACACATGAAAACATAATATAGCATCAAACATTAAAAAGGGCTGCCTTCAGATGTCTTCTGAAAGTTGTGTAGTTCTTCATCTCCTTGACATCTGATGGTAGGGCATTTCAGAGGGAGGGCACCACTGCTGAGAAGGCCCTCTACCTGGTTTTAGAAGGTTTCATGAGTTTAAATTTGTTTTAGTCTATTCTAGGTAAAGGTAAAGGGACCCCTGACCATTAGGTCCAGTTGTGACCGACTCTGGGGTTGCGGTGCTCATCTCGCTTTATTGGCCGAGGGAGCCGGCGTACAGCTTCCAGGTCATGTGGCCAGCATGACTAAGCTGCTTCTGGCAAACTAGAGCAGTGCATGGAAATGCCGTTTACCTTCCCGCCGGAGCGGTACCTATTTATCTACTTGCACTGCGTGCTTTCAAACTGCTAGGTTGGCAGGAGCAGGAACCAAGCAACAGGAGCTCACCCCCTCGTGGGGATTCGAACTGTCGACCTTCTGATCGGCAAGTCCTAGGCTCTGTGGTTTAACCCACAGCGCCTGGGGTTTTAAATTTCAGTATGTTTTAAACTGAGGTTGCAATTTTTTTAGTGATAATTTTATTGTTTTATCTTTCTTGTAAACTGCTTGAGGTTTTTCCTACCATCGAGCAGTGTATAAATTTTATGAAATAAATAAAATAAATAAACAAGGATGACTTTTGCCTACGCAGCCCCATATGCCTGGAATTGGGTCTGGTTTTGAAGAAAAGAGCACAAGGACTAAGACCAATGCGTAGCATCCAGCTGCTCATGAAGACATGCTGGCTATTTTTGGCAGAGTGCAGACATGTGCACATATTATTTTTTTCTGCGCTAGCAAAATGTTCTTACGGCGTACTTGGCACGGCACCCATGATGGGCAGACATAATGTAATACCGGCAAACACCCATCCATCAAGCCGTCATCCTAAATCTGCTACTGAATCCCATGCAGGAGCAGCAATCTTTGCAAGCAAGCTCTTAACACCTACTAATAAAAAGCAGACAAAATATGAGAAAGGCCAAAATGGGTGGACTTTAGTTACAATTCGAGAGGAACGACCGAGCAAAAGTCGGAGGACATGGAGAAACAGGGCAGCCATTTGCACAATACACTGTATAGTCATTGTTACGGCTCAAGCTGATTAAAACACCACTTGTCGTATTATATACATCATTGTACTGTAGCCGCAGCCAATGTTCCTTGTAATGCATTTTCAAGTACAGAAATTGCTTCGGGAAAAAGAAGGGGGGAGCATTTAGGAAAGTAATTCTGTTGAGACCAATGAAGTGGCTCACGTACACATTGTCTGATGCAAATTTGTTTAAGGAAGCTTATTTTAAGCTGTTAAAGTGCGGGCCTTAAGGCCAAGGGGGGGGGGAGAAGAAAATCAGCGACTGCTTGGTATAGTGACTTAGAGAACATTGCAGCAGTATGTTCAGCAAGAAACCCTTCATTAATCCTTTCCTGAAATTCTACCCTATTCACCTTCTCCCTTGCCTGACTCAATAGAATGTAAAACCTGCTGTCAGCACAGTAACGAACCCAGAACCCATTCATTACTCAGTCAAGGCATTTGTAACGTTTGCTGATTTATCCGTGAATAGAAGCACAGTGCCAAGCAAGGCGGAGGAGAGTACGTCCCCCCCGCTCTGTTCCCCCACCAGTATAACTGCTGTTTGTGTGATGTGCCAGAGTCGTGTTAGGAATCATCAGAAGCTTTGATGGATTCAGCATTTTGAAGAGCCTTTGGCATTTCGCTCTGTCTAACCCCAGAGAAAGATGTGAGGGAGAGAGGGGGAATGTTTGCAGCTGGAAGAGAAAAAAAATATTATGCATCGCTTATTAAGAAGCTACTTATTCTTCGCAAAGTAGGCCACCAACACTCACGTTCAGCTTTCAGAGCCTGGGACTTCTGCTCACTTTAAAGAGAAAAGGCAGCCGTATCTTGGGAATCCCATGCGGTAGAATGGGACATGTTTAATGGTGAACCTGGGATAATTAGTGCTTTGATTGACTTGCTTGCTGCTAGAAAGATGCAAGGAGACGATTCTACAGGACTTGTGCTGATCAAGTGAAAAAGTAAACAAGGGCAACTCACACAACAGCTTTCAAAAGAATAATGAAACAGTCTAGCTTGTGTCATGGTAACCATCCCAAAAACAAGGCACTGAATTTCCACTTAACTCTGCACTAAAATAGCATCTCCACTGAGGACAGTGAGATTTACACAATGATGCTAATGGCAGGATTCTATGATGTGTTTTTCCAAGAGTTTGATTGCATTTTTTTTAAGTCCTTGAAGCGAAACTGAAGCAATTTGGATATTTGGCTGTAACCATTGCTATTTTTCTGTTTTAAAATAAGAGGTGCTGGAACTCACCACAAATGCCTCCCTTGTTCTCTTATAATGGTAATGGCACACACTTGTAAGGTGCCAGAACTGAGTTATGGCTGGGGGGGGGGGGGAGCCCTGGCTGTAACTGTAGGTGGAAGGGTATCATCTTGCAGCATTGATTTACTCCAATCATCAGTGAATGGGATAGAACAATTGCTTATGTCTAGCAAGCATAAAGGAAGAATGCTACCACCCCAATTTATTAAGGGTCATCTACACATGGAAAGGGATGCGGGTGGCACTGTGGTCTAAACCACAGAGCCTAAGGCTTGCCAATAAGAAGGTCAGCGGTTCGAATCCCCGCGATGAGGTGAGCTCCTGTTGCTCAGTCCCAGCTCCTGCCCACCTAGCAGTTCGAAAGCACATCAAGTGCAAGTAGATAAATAGGTACCGCTCCGGCAGGAAGGTAAACGCCGTTTCCGTGCACTGCTCTGATTCACCAGAAGCGGCTTAGTCATGCTGGACACATGACCCAGAAGCTGTCTGTGGACAAACGCCGGCTCCCTCAGCCAGTAAAGCGAGATGAGCGCCGCAACCCAAGAGTGGTCCACGACTGGACTTAACAGTTAGGGGTCCCTTTACCTTTACCTTTACCTTTACACATGGAAATGGTGCAAAAGACTCTCATCTTCCAGAGGTATTCAGTTTGAGGCTGGGCAGGAGCTACAGGTGAGAAGACCCACTGAAATTCATAGGCATGACTAACTCATTTAAATAGGGCTACTCTGAGTATATCTTAGTTGCATACAACCCAGAGTGCCTCTGCACCCCACAATCCCACAAACGAAAAATGTACTCATCAAGTTGCCTTCATGGAACAAAGGAAGGAAACCTGCGGACACACTTGAGTACAATATGACTAACTGTACCTGCAGTTCCAGTTTATTTCCAGTTTACCGATGAACTTGCTTGCAAGGGAAGGGGGAGGTTGTGGTAGCCATTGAAAGTGGAGGGAGCAAAGTCCACTAGCCAGAGAGGACACATGTATCTAGATTGCAATGATTTAACAGCGGTGCATACTCTCTGCATGATGTTTAGGTATGGACCCCTGCAAAGCAATATACTTTACATGAAGTTTGGACCCCCAAACTGCAGTGCTTGAAAGACGAAAGTTCATACACAGCCTAAGTGACAATAAGATGACATGTGCAGTGAAATAAAAATTCACCTTGCCAGTGAGTGGGCGCATACGTCATTGTGATAGCGCGTGCATGTGCACTGGCAGCAAAATAGATCAGATGGATATTTTTCTGGCTTTGGGGCCACTGATTCTATCAGCGAAACCAGAGGGTAGAATTCTGGCTGGGAATGCAACATGATTGCCACTTGGACGTCCTGTAATTTTAGAGGGAAGGGCCAAACCACTAACCTCGGAGAGTCAAGACCCCCTCTGGGCAGATGCCTTGATCCTCTGCCTGCAAACTGCATCCTCCCAACTGAATTCTGATGAGTCCACCAGTTTAAGGGCTGAGCTGTTTTTGTTTCTACCTGCAGCAGAAAAAAAAGAAACACTACTTCACCTAATTAGTTTGGTCAAGCCTCTTTCTTAGGGCTGCTGCACTGCAGTTTAGGATCTCACGCTGATCCAGTTGACATAGCGTGAATCACTTTGACCTACTACTGCAGTTGTAGCCCTTTGATCTGGGCCTGTTTGTAATTTGACCCGTTGGATGACTTTCCTAGAATACCCTAGGAAGACAAAAAACCCCAAATCAGCTCCATTTATCTGAATGGGCTTGTCTCCCCCTCCCCCGCTCCACCCCCACATCCCAGATATTAAGCCTTGCCAATCTTTTGTAGAGAAGAAAAGGGGATCTGTGTATCTGATGGGCTTTGAACTACCATCTGGTGGTGCTTAATGTTTTTGTGCTCTGTTCTCCTAGTGGTGCGCTGAATCATAACTTAGAAGTTCAATAGCCATTCAGTCACACAGCCCCAATTCAATATGACTGTGTCATTATCAAAGGCTTGTTTACAAAATGCTGCCTGGCAAACAAAGCAGATTTTAGAGACAGTTTTCCCTCCGGCGGACTCAGCTGACTGAGAGGCATTCTTCCAGTGTGAAGTCTGTTTGTCTTACATCTCTCGACTGCCTCTTGGGCACACAGCAGTGCTGTTTAACGCTGAAATTACAGCCCGAGATGAGTAATTGTAGGTGTTAAAGCCAATGTAAAGGGTTTTTAACTAGGGACAGATGATACACATGGAATTCTGTGGTCTTGGGAAGCTCGCCATTGGGAGGAAGCGAGCAAAACCATTGATCTGTAAACTGTTTACCACCTCTTGTGCTTCAAAATTCGCCCAAATGTATATCAGGAAGCCTGATCCTATCCATGTGTGTTGAAAAGTAAATCCTTTTACCTAGTCTTGAGATGGGTAGCGTTCTTGCTACATACAATAACTCAATCTATTGGAAATATTTCCCCTTCTATAAGCTATTTCATTTAGTAAAACAAAACCCGTTCAAATCTACTATCTATTTCTTCATCTATTTCTTCTTTTTTCATAGCATCTTCCCCTGTAGCTCCTACTTCTAATATTAAGAAGGCAGGACCTGAATCCCACATCCTGATGTCAACATAATAAGGCCATAATTCTAAAGAACTATTACAACAGTGAAGAAAATATGTAGACGTGAATATTCACTGTGTCAGGGACTTAGTACATTACATAGTATGAGCTCCAACAATGGGGTTTATAAGTCCTTTCCATTAGCCTACGAAAATAGACACTGCCCTGAGCTCCTTGGAGGAAGCATGACATACATTTTGGACAAATTCATTTTGCAACTCATAAAATGAAGCTTTGCAGTTTTACCTGCTCCAGGGAAAGGAGCACCAGGAATCCGAAGGTACATGCGTAAGTGGGCATTTCTGAACCACAATAGAGTCCCAATGACTTCCTTGTTGCTTATTTTTTAATTATTTATCTAACCAAATTGACATACTGCTTAATTGCAAATAAAACCTCCAGGCAGTTTACAAAGATTTTTAGTATATCTATAATGTAATAATAATAATAATAATTCATTATTTATACCCTGCCCATCTGGCTGGGTTTCCCCAGCCACTCTGGGCGGCTCCCAACAGAATATTAAAAACACAATAAAATATCAAACATTTAAGCATGGCTGTCTTCAGATGTCTTCTAAAAGTCAGATAGTTGTTGATTTCCTTGACATCTGATGGGAGGGCGTTCCACAGGGCGGGAGCCACTACCAAAAAGGTCCTCTGCCTGGTTCCCTGTAACCTCACTTCTCACAGTGAGGGAACCGCCAGAAGACCCTTGGAGCTGTACCTTTATCCCTCCCCTCATCACGAAGCATCTCAGGGCTGGTCACAATACAGAATAAAAGGAAAATACCCTATACCTACCTTCAATGGCTTTAATTTGTCTTGTGGGTATGCAAGTGAATTTATATTGTTTTCTCTGTCTCTCTCGCCCTCTTGTCATACATTTATTCAGGTACAAACAGGCCACATATATTTTGGGTTGTATCCAGTGGTGCCTACTTGTGCAATGGGATTTCGCATTCTGTTCAGCCTGCTGTGTGAGGGTTGGCATATGCTCTAGAGCAGATTTTGGGTGATGCGGGTGGGAATGAGAGTGAAGCAAAATCCTGTTGCGTGAATGGAAATCCATTCACAAGACATTGGATTTTGCCCTTTACTATCATATGTGCCAAACTAATATTGGATTAGCTACTTTGCATGATCAACTTAAAATGCTTCACATGGTTTCTAATGCCAAAGATTGGCGTGTCTGGGACGCTGCGTGTGGAGGATTAGAGTTTTATGTGCCCCTAGGTTCTCTTTGGGTGTTCAGAGATCTTCAAACCTATCCCTCTATGTGTTCATCCCTCTATGGGGTAACCCAACCAGATGGGTGGGTATAAATAATAAAACTGTTGTTGCTGTTGTTATGCAAAATCAGGAATGAATTGCATCTTCTGTTTTCTTACAAAGTACAGGTTGAGAAGAATTGACCGGTAAGGGGCAGATGGGCAAAGTTCAGCTGCAAATGCAGAAGTCTTAAAAGCAAAGTGTCCTCCATCTCCCCCCCCCCAAGCCTGTCTCCCTGCACAACAGTTGGTCCCAATCTATGGACATGATCCAGCCAAAGTTAAATGAGTTTAAGCACCTGCTTAACTCCCTTGGCTAGATTGTGTCGCTTTTCACCAAAACAAGCCCACAAGTGGAATTTGTCTATTCTAGCCTTCGGAGGACCCTGAACACATTTTGAGACTCAGCCAGAAAAACAACATTTGAGGGCTTCTTTCTTCAGGAAGATGTCCCTACATTAATTAGCATGGTCCACCTTGGATAGTTTAGAGATCTAAAGCAAAGGTAATGGTCCCCTGTTGACATTGGCCTGACTGTAGCAATATTCATGAAACAGCAATTTCTTCCCAAATGCATTTTTTGGCCTTTATGGTTTTTATACCTCAGTGAGCAAGACTATTTGAGTAAACAATCCATCCTTGACTCATTTTGTGTACAGAGGGAAGATCCGCTTTTGATTGTAGTTGTTTTTTTTAAAATAAACTGGAAGGCAGCCAGCTTTCTCTGGGAAGGGAAACAGCGAATTAATGATAGTGCTGTAAATATAGCTCTTGTTTGGTCTTCAACTAAATTTAACCTTCATGTGTCCTCCTCCAGCTCCTAATAAAAGGTATCTTTGCTGGTGTTTTCTTAAGCTTCCTAGAAAGAGGTACTGATGTGCAAACGGAATGCAGCCTTTTTAAAGTTCTTCCTAGAGCGTTACATGCCAGAGTGTTTTGACAGATGAGTTTATCTATTTTAAAAAAAAATAGTTTCGGTTTACATTATCTCTCAAAATGCTTCCATCAACCTGCTGGCCCCAGGATTTATGGTGAAGGGAAACTTGCCATCTTGATCAAATCCTATCAGCTGTGCGCATTCATGCAAACAAAACCAAGGTGTATGTTACTATCTGTATTTTTATTTTATTTTTAAGATTTAACAACATACAGACTGCTAACACAGAACATCCATAAAAGCCGGGATGAGATCTGCTCCTTCACTCTACTGGATTAGTGAATACCAATCTTACAGCTTTAGCCTGACCCTTAAAGAAAAGTCGCCAATAACTTGATGGGGCTGAGGTTTTCTTCTCCCAGCATTCTGCAGAACTTGTCCTTAACATATTTTATAAGAGTCAGATGGGTTTTTACACTGACGACTTATAATTGCTGAGCTTTGTTAGAGGAACCCATGTGTGCTTTCCAAAAAAAGCCCATTTTCTTCCATCTGGCAAGCTGGAAATTCTGTATGTAAAATTCAGAACAGGAAAGGACCATATGGTCTTGTCAGTTCCAACCCCCCCACCTCTTTGAATCTTATTCTGCCACTCGTCTCTCCCCTTCTCAGTCTCTCCCCTCCCCTCCCCTTCCATTGATTTTGATAAAGAAATATAGACACTGAACGCACATATTGGGCACAGCATCCTTTCCCCAGTTTTGTGCCATGTTAGGAAGACACCAGACTGCAGAATGTGCCAATTTTGGATGCCTGAAAACAAAGATGAACATTGGCAACCCAAAATTATTATCAAACAATTGAGGTGGAAATGCATATAAGTGTTGCCTGTTTTCCAAGGTGAAGAGGCAAAGGGGGGATGTCCTTCTTAAAAAAAATAAAAAGAAAGAAAGAACACCATCAACCTTCATCACAATATCCATATTTCAAATTCTCTCAAAAAGACACCCCCCCCAAGTTAGTAGCCAAAAATACATCACATAACCCCTCTTTCTCTTTTTTTATATAATTGTGTTTTGTAAAGATCATGAGTATTCTAGTTTATATTTTATTTCTCTTTCTTCTTCTTCTTCTTCGATATATTGCTTTTCATTATCTTTTTATAAATGTGTTTGGATTTTAGTGCTCAATGTGTTTAAAATCTTCAATAAAATTGATTTTTTTAAAACAACAACAACAAAAACATATTCTCTCCCACACTTGGGTCAAAAGTCCCAAGACAATTTCAAGTTTCTCTTCTATGTCCGTTAATGCCTCCTCTGCCATTATTCCTCATATATTTCCTTAATGCTTTATTGGTTTTAAAAACAAAACAAATACAAAACAAAACAATACGCGCGGATCAACAAAAGGCAATCCAAGATCAACACTCATTGCAAAAGAAAAGATTGAATTCACATGTCACAAATTCCAACATGACTTCCACAGTGGAAGTCACTTGAGAAAAATATTGACAACTGACAACTCTTCATAGAGAAAATAAAGGGTGTGGGAAGTCCTTCAGAGACCCACTCAAGACGACCAGCTCTAAACAAAATCTCTTTTTCTACCTCTGTGTTCCGACCATCTTAAAATTCAGTGTCTCAGGAGCACTTACTAGACATGTGGCCCCAAATGATTTACTCCCTGTGCTTTTTTCTAAACAAAATGTTTAGGGGTACTCTAATTTTCCTACTCATATTGAAATACTGCCCCTCAATGAGGCCAAACTTAGATTCACAAAAAGTTTAGGGGTATGCGTACCCCTGCGTACCCCCCCCCAAAAAGCACTGTTTGCTCCCCTCTCTTTAAAAAAAAGCAACAAAAAACTAGAAGACACGTCAGTACATTGGAATAAGTTGGATGGATTATTCCTAGGAGTGCACTGGAGGTGGCAAAGCGACAATGTACGAGGGAGAAAAATGATGCTTTGTGCGAAGGAATTGGTATTGATTTTATTTGACAGGTACTCGGGTCTTTTGTAAAAAGACTATCATGCTATAAACTATAGTTCAACAGTGAGATCAATACCATATCAGTAGTGAAAGTAGCCTTGATGTCGTTTTCTATGTTATGAAACATACGATTCAACCTTGAAAACGTCCCACATTAATGACACCTTGATGATGGGTAGAGAAGGAAAGGGTTGATGGAATGAAGCAACGTTGGTGTACATGAAACCGCCCTGAGATCTTGGGATGAAGGGCGGAATAAATATTTAATAGATAAAATAAAAATAAAATGCAGCAGGGGGAAATCCAAATGAAAGAAAAGGAAAATTTTGGGCAGAATATCTATTCAGGTACACACATAAAATGCTAATTGGCATTAGGTGGTGGTTCATATGCAAGATAATCACAAATTAGCAGGTGGGGAACCCAGCTGTGTGCAATGCTCTCCCCAAAATGGTTCACCTGTAACCTTCTCTGAAATGACTGGGAGTGGCCCCCAGGACCACATAACACCAGTCCTGAGAGATCTGCATGGGGACGCGGGTGGCACTGTGGTCTAAACCACTGAGCCTCTTGGGCTTGCCGATCAGAAGGTCAGCGGTTTAAATCCCCGCAACGGGGTGAGCTCCTGTTGCTTGGTCCGAGCTCCTGCCAACCTAGCAGTTTGAAAGCACGTCAAAGTGCAAGTAGATAAATAGGTACCACTCCGGCGGGAAGGTAAACGGCATTTCCGTGCGCTGCTCTGCTTTCGGTGTTCTGTTGCGCCAGAAGCGGCTTAGTCATGCTGGCTACATGACCCGGAAAAACAGTCTGCGGACAAATGTCAGCTCCCTCGGCCTGTAAAGCGAGATGAGCGCCGCAACCCCAGAGTCATCTGCAACTAGACTTAACTTTCAGGGGTCCTTTACCTTTTTAAATAGATAATTGCCTGTACTATTATTCCTCTGCAAATCATATATTCTCTGATCTAGGAAATTGTGAATATTCAGCCAGCTTGTCCTAAAGGCCATTCCAATTGGATTGATAGATCCCACAATGAATGAACATTTTTTGCTCAGTTGTTGCTGGAGGGAATCCAGGCATCTCCCCCCACCCCAGGTCATCTGACACACTAAGAGAAATCATAAACCTACCACCCACCAATCAGTGTTTCTTCTGTCATACCTATTAACTGCCCTGGTGGGGGAAATGGGACATTCCATTTCCTGCTGCGAAAGCATGGCAGCCATTTTGGGTGGCTTGCTCTTGCATGATGTTGCACCACGATCTTCCCCCAAGTGCTTTTTCTGAGTCTGCGATCTCACGCAGGTCACATGACTTATGCAGGAGTGCAGAGCTGGAAAATGGCGTCCTGGATTTTGGGCCGTGTCAGTTTTGGAGGCTATATTGACACGTGATGTCAATATAGTCCACATTTCCCACCTCCCTGCTATTTTTGAGAAGCTGGGACTGCTGTAATAACCAGATGGGGCATCCAAGGCTTTCTTCTCACCGACGGAACAACTCTGCGTCCAGCTGTTCCACTGGGTACCGTTAAAAAATTACCAATCCTGATCAGAACTGGATATTGTTTCTATGGCTCTCTCAAAATTATTGGTCTTTGCAGAACATGCATGCAGCCTGGAAAACCAATACTGCATCTTTTAATGATACGGTTTATTTATTTTTATGAAAGTCATCTTGAGATTGCTCAGTGACAAAAAGAAGTACATAAATACTGTAAATGGAATCCCAGCAGTCAGTTATTTGGCAGGAAAAGAAAAACAGAACAGCTTGGATCCAGTCCCTCATAAGAGTAGAATCCCAGTTTCTCTTACTAAAAAGCTTTGGAAACAGGTTAAGAAATCACACATATTCCCCATCCAGTTAGGGTCATTCAGTTTGAAGCCACTTCTGCAGGCATATAGCCTCTACCTCACAATTGTACCCAGCCAGAGGGTGTTTTCAGTCTATTAAAGAGTCCAGTAAGAAGAGCACATTTTAATCTTTTTAAGCTCTTTATCCTGTCCTTGAGCAAGTAAATACCAGAGACAAAAACAAAAACACTTGAGTCACAAAGAGGTTCGATGGTCAACCAGCAAGTCCCCTGTATCCTAATAACAAGTCTCCCAACTTGCATCACTGTCTGATTGCGAAATCCTGGCTGTGCCTGACATATAACAAAAGTTAATGGGGATAATTAAATCTAACTGGTCTTGGATACTGCCTCAAATAGCACAATAAAATAAGGTGAAATAATATCTGTAGACATAGTTGTCCTCCAAAGTGGGGAACATAAAAATGTAGAGATGAATTACTATGCTGTGACAGCAATATTTTTATCCAAGTAGATTTATGGGCTGTTGTTTTTAGGTTCTCTCCCATGCCCTGCTGATAGAAGTTCCATTCCATTCCTGCATTCCTCCAACTCCACTTTCCTTACTCGGTCATTATCAAATACCTCCATCTTGTTTAAATAACATAGTACTTAACCTCTGTTTGAAGTCGAGAATGTAGGGCTGCTGAAATTACAACCAAGAGGATATGAGTGTGTGCATGTGTATGAATAAGGAGAACGTTAACTTTCCTCAAAAAATAAAATAAAAAATACTCAGCTCATTTATTTGCAGCTGCACCACAGTGGTTTCTTTTTTCTTCCTTTCTGCTTTCTTGATATTTACAATGAAATTAGCGCCCTGCTATTGTGAAATATGTGTGCAGGCCCTGGTCCAGAGATCCTTAAAGACTAAGGAGATTAATTCACTGTGCTGCTTCTTGTACGGTTTGAAGAGGATCTCCCTTGCATGAGAAATCAGACTATCAAGGACAATGGCTCTTCACTAGGATTGCTAAGTGGAACTTCCAGGTACAGAACCTGTTCATTTCTGAATACCAGACCATGGCTACTAAATACTATTTTGTCTAAGAAGCATTAAGGGTGACTCAGCCATTTCATAGAATAAGAACATAAAGTTTTAGGAAGCATACAGCCTCCTTGTTACCACAGCTCCACTGGCTAATCGTCTGTTTCCAGATACAATTCAGAGTGCTTGCTATGACTTTTAGGTCCAAGCTATCTGAAAGACCGTATTCCCTCATACATATCTACCTAGATTTTGAGGTCTTCGGGAGAGGCCTTTCTCTTGGTCCCACTACTAGGGCTTGGCTATATCAACTTTTCAACATGCCGGTGTATCGCCAGCCAAGCATCGCAGTTTGGCGATACACCGCCATGTTGAAAAAACAAGATGCATTGGTCTATATATAGTTTTTATTCTGTTAATGATGAATTCGTTGTTAATTATTGGTTTCCTTCCCTCTCCATCTTTTTAGCTGTTCCTACTTTATCTGTAAGCTAGGGTTGCCATATTTCTAGAAGTAAAATTCAGGACACAGAAGCTGTTGGGCTTTTTTCTTTTTTTAAAGGAAACTCAAAGTTGTTCAGTTCTTTTTTAGGTGATCACAGACATTTTGCTGATTTCCCAAAAATTCCCCCCAGATGCTATTTTCACCTGTTAAATCCTGGACATGTCTGGGAAATTCCAGACGTATGGCGACCCTATTAAGCTACCAGGGAAAAGGGGGGGTAATAATAATAATAATAATAATAATAATAATAATAAAAACAGCTCTTTTGGATCAGACTGAAAGAACATCTATTTCAGCATCTTGTTCTCATAGCATCCAACCAGGTGTCTATGGGAAGCACTCAAAGAAGGACTGTGTGCTATTGCAATTTCCCCACTTGTGAATCCCAGCAACTTGTTTTCTGAGGCAAACTACCCTCCCGCAGTGAAGGCAGAACATAGTCATTGTTCCTAGGAACCAATGAAAGCCTTATCCTCCTTGTTAATTGCACAATATTAACCATATAATTGTAGCAATGAGTCTTCTGCCTCTGGGTGCTGAGGATGATGCTGCCCTGTTGCCAATGTTGAAATATGAGTCAACTGTCAATCCTTGTCAGCTTCTGTATATTGAATGGGGTGGGTGGGTGCCATCTTGGCCTATGCAACAGGCAGCAAAAAATCTTGGGCTGGCCCTGGCTGGCTGGCTGCCATGGGAAACAGAATGCTAGACTAGATGGGAATCTTATATTCTCGTTTCCTGGGATTAATCTAACAAACAGAGAGAGGAAGAGAAAGAAACAATTTCCTTTGTAATGAAGAGGTTTGTGGCCGGTTTGTTTGTTTGTTTGTTTGTTTGTAAAAGGTTGCTACTTTAATTGTAATCTTATTGCTAACCAAGAAGTACTCATTCCTGCCTATTAAGAAATATCTACTTTGGGCATAAAGAATGCTGCCGTGAAATCGAATAGTAGACTAGCTACCGGTATTTAAAATCCTGCCTCTGATTCTTGGTCATCTTACAGCAGCCATTCTCAACCTTGAGTTCCCAGGTGTTGTTGGACTACAACTCCCATCATCCATAGCCAGCAGGGACAGCAGTCAGGGGTGATAGGAGTCATAGTCCAACAACATATAGGAACCAAAGAAAGGCTGTGTTAGAGGATGTGGGGGTAGTGGAATGGTAAACTGATGTGTGTGTCAACACACACACACACCTTCAAAAAGCAAGTAAACATGAAGATTGGTTGGGGGTATGTGTGTTACGGAGGGGTTAATTTGCCCCTGAATGTTTTCACCCCTTTCTGCATACCCTGTTGCAAAGATTTCTAAACCAGAGCAAAACTCGGGGCAAGTTTCCACTGTTGCCCCTAAGCAATCTCTGCTCATCCCTCTATATCTGTGACTTATTCACAGCTGTTCAGCCAGCCATAAATAAAGGAAGGGTATAGTTTTATATTCATGGCAACTATGTCTAATCTTATTTAAGAGCACTGCAGCTACCGTAGCTAACTAATGCAATGGCACCTGGCCAGGAAAATGCTTCCTTGACTTTTTAAATATCCGGGACCAGCTTGTTTTCCTGCTGACCAGGGAAGCGGTTTTATATAAACCTGGTTGGCGATGTGCAGCTGAGCCAAGATCATGTCACTCTGGGAAACCTTTTTTAGCTTGAAGCATCCTGAAATCCTAATGTCAGGTTTCGTATGTAAACTATTTTGAATAATTAATGGTTTTCCTTGAATAATGAATCCTGAGAAAGATGCTTCTCTCAAAACAGGGGCTGCCAGAGGAGTTTTCTTTTCCCTTGCGCTTGAGGACACACTGCAAGTTTCTTTGAACTTCTGGAGTAATTGGCTCTGGTTTCGTGTGTGTTAAAAAGCAAAGGAAGAATGTTATTCTTTTCTAAAATGAGGACTTGACGAAATGTTGTCTGGATAGTGTGGAGTTTTTTTTGTTTTTGTTTTGAGACTGAATATTTTGTCCATTTATTTCCAGACCATAAGCCAAGCATTCCTCATGCACATACTAAGTTGGTGTGGCAAAAAGATAAAAGGTAAAGGACCCCTGGATGGTTAAGTCCAGTCAAAGGCAACTATGGGGTTGCGGCACTCATCTCACTTTTCAGGCCAAGGGAGCCGGCGTTTGTCCGCAGACAACGTTCTGGGTCATGTGGCCAGCAGGACTAAACCACTTCTGGCACAATGGAACACCATGACGGAAACCAGAGCGCATGGAAACGCCATTTACCTTCCTGCCACAGCAGTACCTATTTATCTACTTGCACTGGCGTGCTTTCAAACTGCTAGGTTGGCAGGAGCTGGAACAGAGCAACAGGAGCTCACCCCGTTGCAGAGATTCGAACCACCAACCTTCCAGTAGACAAGCCCAAGAGGCTCAATGGTTTGGACCACAGCGCCACTCGCATCCCTTGGTGTGGCAGTGCCCCATTGGCCTAATAGACCAGCCTCCACTGTTTGTGGACTTCTGTATAAATGCATACTGTCAAAAATTTCTCCAATGGAAATTGGGATGTCCTATTCCATCATCATCATCATTATACCCCACCCATTTAACTGGGTTGCCCCAGCCCCACTCTGGGCGGCTTCCAACACAATAAAACATAAAAAACATTTAACATTTTGAAACTTCCCTATACAGGGCTGACTTCAGATGCCTTCTAAAGGTTGCATATTTACTTATCTCCTTGGCTCCGGGGTTGCAAAACTGAGTTTAAAATGAGAAAAGCACAATAAAAACATTATGTGATCCACCAAAATAAAGTTGTGACATGGTATCTGATCAAACAGAGCAGAGTGGAGCCCACTTAAAAGGACAGATCCATTGGGTTTCTCATCTTAAGCCAATTGGGCTCCTAACTATTACAATGACCTCAATGTTTATTTGGAAGACTGTGAGACCTTGACCTTATCTGATACCCAGATAAGTTTGTTTCTGAACAGGATTTATTTACCTTCTAAACTGAAGGAACTCTAGAAGCTTGTGTTAACATGAGCATAAAACAAATTCAAACACTATATATTTAAAATGCAGTTGACTCTTGCAATATTCTGCTAGTGACACTGAAAGTCTTTCTTCCTGTAAAGCAGCTTCGGCCGATTCCAATTCACATAATCATCTTACATGAATGGGTTTGCTGGAATCATTTCTCCTAACAACAAATGCCAATTTTGCCATGCAAATACATATTAACTATCAGCAGCTGTGATTCACATTCATAAGCAGGTCAGAAAACTCATTGCCACATGCTTCATGGAGTCTGACGAAACAAGCGGCTAGCTATCAAAGAGGTTGTGTGAATTGACCCTAAGAACAATAAAAACGCTTACTGATTGTACCTGGGAAGCTAAGCAGGACCTGAAAATTAATCAAGAGGGCAACAAAACATAGCTTCAATAATAGTCGCACCCAACCAAGAAGAAACCTTCTTTCCCATCTCACTTATTGTACCCAGCCTCCAAAAACATAGGCGGGGAAGCTCTGGCTCTTCAGATGTTATTGCACTGCAACTTCCATTGGCCCTTTCCAACATGGCCAATGGCAGCTCTTCAAAATATGGTGAGTTATGGGTTCTGTCCTAACGCCTGACCTCATTTAACTGTTTGGTTTTTGTAAAACTGTTTAAAAGACAACAGCAATAAAACAATTGCATTTTTTTTAAGCAACAGGGATCGCTTAATCCAGGGGTAGGCAACCTAAGGCCCATGGGGCACAAGCGGCCCACGGGGGTCGTCTAATCGGCCCCCAAACTGCCCCCAAACTGAGCCGCCCCCTCGACGGTGCATGCTCAGATGCCGGAAATCGCGGCCCCGTGCATGATCCAGCCCATGGAGGGATCTCCACTGGAGTTAACCGGCCCAGGCAAAGTAAACTTTGCTGACCCCTGGCTTAATCCATGGGTAGGCAAACTAATGCCCGGGGGCCGCATCCAGCCCAATCGCCTTCTAAATCCGGCCCATGGATGATCCTGGAATCAGTGTGTTTTTACTTGAGTAGAATGTGTACTTTTATTTAAAATGCACCTCTGGGTTATTTGTGGGGCCTGCCTGGTGTTTTTACATGAGTAGAATGTGTGCTTTTATTTAAAATGCATCTCTGGGTTATTTGTGGGGGATAGGACTTCATTCTCTCCCCCCCCCAAAAAATACAGTCATACCTCGGGTTGAATGTGCTTCAGGTTGAGTGCTTTCAGATTGCGCTCTGCAGCAACCCGGAAGTAACGGAGCGTGTTACTTCCGGGTTTCGCCACTCACGCTTGAACAGTCGCTCAAAATGACACCACGGGCATTCGCAGAAGCGGCAAAACGTGACCCATGCATGCACAGACGTGCCGTTGTATCTTACGTTCTATTCAGGATGCGAACGGGGCTCCGGAACGGATCCCATTCGCATCCCGAGGTACCACTGTAGTCCGGCCAGCCACAAGGTCTGAGGGACAGTAGACCAGCCCCCTGCTGAAAAAGTTTGCTGACCCCTGGCTTAATCTATCCCACACATACGCAGAACTGCACATGAGGGGACTCGCATACCAGTGGCCCCTATCCCCCACTGTCCCCACGCAGTGCGGAGCTGTGTGCATGTGTGCAGAATCGCATGTGTGCTGAGAAGGGACTGGATCCATGGCCCAAGTGTATGAACATAAGAATAGTCTGCTGTACCAGGCCAAAGACCCATCTGATCCAGTATCCTTTTCTCACAATGGCCAACCAAATGCGCCAGGGAGCCTGAGCATTCTCCTATCCCAGCAACTGATACTTGGAAGCATTGCTATAGCATAGCCATCATGGCTAGCAGTCATTGAAAGCCTTCCCTCCATGAATTTGTATACTTGCAGTCTTGAATTTGTACATTGAAGTTGTCCAAAATAAACCTGCTTGAAAGTCAACAACTCGTCTAGGGTCAGCGGAATATGCTGCCAAGTAGATGCGTTTAAAGTATATGTGTTTAAAACAGGGGTGTCCTCTCCTCTCAATAAACAGAAACTCAATGCCTTCTGAATTCCGAGCAACGAGAAGAAAAAGCCCTTCTCTAACACAACACGCTAATGAAAGGCAACTCCTGTGCCCTGTAATTTATGCATTTATGAAATGGTCTTTCAATACAAGGAGAGTGTTGGGGAATGAAAGGAATAGTAGGTTTTAAGGATTCTTTTGATGTTCAGGGTGGGTGGGGGTGAGGGACAGCCATGGATCATATAACAGGGGCTAACTTGTACCCTTGGTGAAAACGCTCTTATGATGCAGGATACAATTTCTGCTGGAGCACAATGGATATACGATCCTCATTCGCCTGGAAGTAGCCTATAAACCCTCCCATTAAAACCAGATGGGCTTGATTAGGAGAGCCATTTTGGAGAATTCCCCTCTGCTAAGGATGAGGGAGACTTGCTAAGATTGCCTAAAGGGGTGGTTGACTTAAAGCTCTGCTAAGGAAGCCACACCGTCCTGTTTCCATTCCCCCCCTCCCAACGTTCCTCCCCAACCTCAGGTGCTTTGTAGGATAATCTAATGGAAACCTGACACAAAGCAGGGAGCTGAAGGCTGTATTACTCAGTGATGCTGGAAGCTTTTGAAGCAGGAGAATTGGGGAAAGGCTCTACAGTGGTGAGTGACACCAGAATACCCATAAGTCTAGTCTTTCCAAACGGCTGCCAATGTAACTTGGAACACGTTGAACATTTGTCATTTGTGTGTGTGAGAGAGAAGTACGGAACATAAGTTCCAGTGACACAAAACAACAGAATGTTAGGTACGAAGGGGGAAGCAAAAATATACTTTTATGCTCATCTCCGCAGCGTGAAGAAAATAGTCCTTTCACTCTGAAAAAGGCAGCTGCTGCAATATCTGCGATGGATAATTTTGGAGCATCAGAGTTCCTGGACCTTCATCAAGCAATGAATAAGTTTGTACAAGGAAGGGCTATCTCATGTAGCTCTTTGTTGGAGATGTAATATGGACAGTGCTTCTTTGAAACTGTGTCCCACACTAAGTTTTGGGAGAAAATCCTGGACTATATATAAACAAGACACTATGGGAGGGGGGGAATAAGATTTTCAGAGGTGAATATCCTCTTGAACTATATACCCATTGTGTGGAGATTGACAACAGGACAACGAAAAGAGATTGATACTGCTGAATTGGAAGAAGAGAGATACAATTCCCTTTAAACAATGGCTTGACATGACAACATTGGCAACATATGAATGGACATCTTATAGACGCAGACTTTCTTTGGATAAATGCAAGGATATTTGGAATGAGTTTATACCAAATATATTAGGTTACAGACAATTATATGTGTATTAGAATAATAAGAATATATACGCTTGTATATTAATGTATGGTATTGTAACAGTTTTTCACTCTCACTCTTTTTTACTCATTCTTTCTTTTTATAAATGAAATTCTCTTAATAAAATATTAATATTTTTTTAAAAAAGCAATGGATAAGTCTTATGGGTTTTAAAAAAGAGACCCCACCCATTTACCTTGAGAATTAGCTTTAGCTAGAGTGCAAGTTTGTGTTGCCTGAACTAAGATGGAAGCAGGAATCATTCATCTGTATGTATGATTAAACCTGAGGTCATTAGTTCCTAATGCAAGCCTCAGTTCTACTCAGCTATGACTTATTGTGTGGTTTTAGGCATATTGATAGCAGCAGTATGGGGTAGACAATGCATAGGACTGTTGGAAGTTGCTTCTCAGGGGACTTACAGAAAAGGAAAGGGTGGGGATAGAGTGGTACCATGTGGCAAGGAAGATGATGCAGTCTTGTGGGCATGGAGCTTTCTAGAATTCCCTGTCGTAGGATGCTGCTTAGGTGGATTAGGAAAAGTCATATGGTGGCTTCACTCTTGACATCACTGAGGGCCACCTGTATTTTAGATCTACTGTTAGAAGGACATATGCGTACCCTCAAAACATGTAGTAAACATGTTGCACATTCCCATGTTGTGCTGCTGATGTGGTACCTAGGGTTACAAACTTAATTTGTTCCGGAGGTCTGTTCTTAACCCAAAACTGTTCTTAACCTGAGGCGCGCTTTCGCTAATGAGGCCTCCCTCTGCCAGCGCGCAATTCCTGTTCTCATCTTGGGACAAAGTTCTCAACCTAAGGTACTACTTCCAGGTTAGTGGAGTTTGTAACCCAAAGTGTTTGTAACCTGAAGTGTTTGTAACCCGAGGTACCACTGTATAGGAATAATACAAAAAAACACCCCAACCTACTTGTGACTGGACCCTGGAATAAATAGGAAAGACCAAAGTAATGGATTGAATTAGGACCACAAGGAGAAATCAGAAGTGTGGAAAGCCTATTTAAGCCTCACCCCTGGATGAGCCAAACACCATACACTCCAACACTTTGAAGCCAAAATGTGGGACACCATCTTCCCATTTTTTAACCACAAGAGCACTGAGGCCTTTTTGGTTGCAGTGATCTCATACGATTTCGTGCCATGGTCCCCCCCCCCCCAAAAAAAGCATTTTTGTTGAGGTGTGGCATCCCAACACAATATCATGACCAGGGGGGAAGCAAAATCATGCCATGAAATGGCACAAGATCACAGGAACCAAAATGGCCACCACGCTCTCATGATAAAAAATGTGATGTCCCAGGTTTTCTGAGACACTTGTTGGGTATTCAGAGAGGCATGACAATACATCTCCCCAAAGCCTAAGCTCGATTTTATGGTGAGTAAGGAGGCCTTCCTGCCCCCAGATTCTCTTGTAGCCCCACAGCTACAGGCAAGAATGGTCCACATTCATTCATTCATTAAAAACAAACAAATAATAAGCACCAGCAGTATTGTGCCCTGGTCTTGCTGCTTTAATTATGAAGAGTTATAAAATGACATTAAATATGAATCATTGCACTTATGTTTATAGAATTATTCCTGCAATATAGTCCTGTTCCTGTGATGACACCTACCACTCTTAGAGTTTTCTCTGCCAACTATTTGATTATCGCTTCTATATTGAGTTCGGACAGAATGCACACTATTATTTGTGCCTTGTTTGAAAATTGGCAGCCACAGTGCAAGATCTGAAAGTACAAACTACATCTTCATTTTGATTGTAATCAACCTCTGGCTTGCCCTCTGTGCAGTTTTGATTTAGACCTTCCAACCGAGTCGCAGTAGGGGAGATAAACCCTGAACAGTTTGATAATTTGGGTAGTGGAAATGATGTCTCCAGGGGATCCCAATTGACACTTTCGTACTTTTGCTATCAAATAAAAAAAGATGGGGAAAACCACAGTGAAGTTAGGGGAAATGCTGTTAAAAGTATCTTGAAGCTGTTAGTTCCTGGAAGGTAAAAGTAATTATTTTAAGTGTCTTATTTTCTTGCTGTGACACACAATGCAAAAGAGCCTCAGAATGTATAAAGCCCATTTTTAATTGGACCATATGGCCGTGTTTTGAGAGTTGCTATGCGACTTCACAATTCTATAGGATCAGGAGGAGAAGATCTGTGCCTGTACAACATCACAGCTCGTGGTATGTTGCCAACAATGTGATCAGACTTAGGCCGTTGTATTGGTGCAACACTGTGATCATACTACAATGTGACCAGATAGTTGGTGGCATTCAAGTCACTGCACAAATCACAGAAATGGGTAGAAGACTTTAACATTTATTAGGTTTGGATGACAAACCAATGACAAACCTAGACAGCATCTTAAAAAGTAGAGACATCACCTTGCCAACAAAGGTCCGTATAGTAAAAGCTATGGTTTTCCCAGTAGTGATGTATGGAAGTGAGAGCTGGACAATAAAGAAGGCTGATCACCGAAGAATTGATGCTTTTGAATTATGGTGCTGGAGGAGACTCTTGAGAGTCCCATGGACTGCAAGAAGATCAAACCTCTCCATTCTGAAGGAAATCAGCCCTGAGTGCTCACTGGAAGGACAGATCGTGAAGCTGAGGCTCCAATACTTTGACCACCTCATGAGAAGAGAAGACTCCCTGGAAAAGACCCTGATGTTGGGAAAGATGGAGGGCACAAGGAGACGACAGAGGACGAGATGGTTGGATAGTGTTCTTGAAGCTACCAGAATGAGTTTGACCAAACTGCAGGAGACAGTGGAAGACAGGGACAGGAGTGCCTGGCATACTCTGGTCTATGGGGTCACGAAGAGTTGGACACGACTAAACGACTAAACAACAACAAAGATAATTATAATTCAGAATGCCATACAAATTCCTTTTATACCTGCCTATCACTGCTTATGGCTGGGATCCAGATGAGTACTTCTGGTACTTAGATATATTTGTGGGGTTTTGGAAATTTTCCTTACTGTTCCCCATACCAATGTATCCCAACCAATTTGATTTTCAGAGAATCTACAGTCAAAATGTATACTTTAGATTTACTTATTTAATGTATCATTTGCTCCTAGAATTGTTTTCTTTCCCACCATGAAAGGAAAAAAAGAGCCCACTGTAGTTTTCTTTCTTCTTCATTACCCTTCTACCGCTTAATATCTACATTTAATATACATTCTGTACGATTGCAGAGGGAGTAAGCAAACATATAACAATAAATAGTCTAGTGGCACCTTAAATAGATTTATTAGGGCACAAATTTCCATGGGCTGTTGATTTGATGCTGTGAGCTCTCAAAAGAGATGGGAGATCCATGGGGAAGACACAAGACAACTATTTGATGATGACATCATGTAGATGTTCCATAAAAATTGAATGAATAAGAAGTGGCACTTGAAAGATGAAGACCTGGAGCGGACGGTTTTGGCAAACCACAAGTGGGGGAGAAAATTGACTTCTGCTTTGTTGAGAACAGCCATAGTTCTCAAACTTTTATCTGGGCCACCCTGTCAAGAATACAAATTTGCTTGCATCACACCAAAATTTTTATTGATAAGAAATATATTGGTAAACAAAAAGCAACACCTACTTTATAATATGATTATGGGACATCCGGAAAGTATAAAACAATGCAGCTGCATATTCTGTAAAAAAAATAAAATTGAAAATTGATACTATACTATACTACGCTGAGATGTTTAAAGTTTATTTTTATTGTCCTTGAATCTTTCTGCCACACTTGCCATCTTTTCCTGACACACTGGTGTGGTGCGCCACACCCTTTAAGAACCACTGTTTTAGAGCATACTTGTTTAAAGTTAATTGTTTTAGCATTCATATTATGTTATTTATTTTTAGAACGGTGAAATAAAAATTATTGTAAAAAAAAAAAGATGCTGACTTAAGGCCTCCGTAAGATCAACCGTGCAGTTGATTTTTTGCAAGTGTTTGTATTATTAGGTAACTAGCCCTGAAGTTACTTGGCAATGAAAGGTCAGGCAGAAAAGTTATAAATAAGACACAGCTGTAGATATTGGTAGATATGGACATAGCCCGTCTAGCTAGCAGTAGTTTCTCACAGAACTAACATCCATGCACATAAAAGCACCTATAACAAGCTACCAGCTTTAAACAACCGTTAGACAAGCAAAAGATTCAGCAAAACCAGAGATCCCATAAATCACACCTACAGACACCTCACGATCCAAAAGCATTCCTAAATGAGAAGGTTTTTACCAACCTTCAGAAGGTTACCTAAGATTTCCTTGGAGACCGTTCCTAGGCAGGGAGCTCCAAATTAAAATCAATGGGGCTTAAGAGTGTCTTACTCCGTGGCCAGAAAACACACTGCGTGAAGGACCTTCCTTATTTTTCTGTCTTTTCTGTATTAAACTTAGAGATAATAAAGATTTCTACCACAGCCAGAGAGGGAAAAGTCATTAAGGGAGAGTCTCTCTCTCTCTTGTGTGTCTGTTTATTGTATTTTTATTTGAGACCACAATAAAATTAGGTATTGCTGTTTTTCCTTAAGACACGTGGGGCACCTTTTCTAAGTCCAGCTTAAAAACTGCTTGATTTCTATTTCCCTTTTCTCTCCTTTCTTGTTTTCCCTCCTTTCTTTTGCAGTGACATTTCCTATGATGTGTACTTGGAAAGAATAGCTATTGCTGTTCTTGTCAGTTTTGTTTTGTCAGCTCAGTATTCCGAGCCTGGCTTTGCCATTTTCAAGGTCTCTTTCAATCCGTGGAACACAGCTGGCAGTTCAATCAGGAGCTCCAACCGTGAAGAAATTGGCAGTTGATCCCCAACCAACTATGTGGAAGATATATTATATATTTCACAGCACACAGTGGAATACCCTTTTCATTTCATCATTGAGAGAGACGGCAGCATCACTCATGAGCTCTTCTCTACAAAAATATTAATAATGTCCCATTCTCCTAAGGGATGAGCACATTTTGGAACTGAACTTCAATGACCTTAGCTTGTCAGGCTGATATGACTTTACGAAATCCAGAAATGGAGCTTTTCCGCCCTTGAGGCTCAGTCTTAAGTGCTCGTAGTGGTGTCCTATCTGAGGGCATTTTTAATCGTTTTCCTCAAAAAATGTTGGAAGGGAATGTTGAGAGTACACTCCCAGTATTTAGCGGCAGAACATGATGTAAGGAATAGTATACATAAAAACTTGGCTTCCCTCTCTCTCTTCCACTAGATGATAATTCCCTCATTGGAAGCTTCCTTATACAGTGGTACCTCAGGATACATACGCTTCAGGTTACATACGCTTCGGGTTACAGACTCCGCTAACCCAGAAATAGTGCTTTGGGTTAAGAACTTTGCTTCAGGATGAGAACAGAAATCGGGCTCTGGTGGCGCGGCAGCAGCAGGAGGCCCCATTAGCTAAAGTGGTGCTTCAGGTTAAGAACAGTTTCAGGTTAAGTACGAACCTCCGGAACAAATTAAGTACTTAACCCCAAGGTACCACTGTACTGGGTTACACCTCAGTCAATCTAGCTCAGAATTGTCTACATTCACTGGAGTTCTTTCCAGCCCTACCTGGAAATGTGAAGGGTTGAATCAGGAGTTCTTGCATGCAATCCACCAGTGAACGATGTCCATTTCTCCCATTCCATTCTACCTGGCTGCAGCCACATTCTCACAGTATTTCACCCATCTGACCCAGTTGCCCCAGCCACCCTGGGCGGCTTCCCACAATTATAAAAGCCACAGCAAAACATCCAACATTAAAAACTTCCCTATACAGGGCTGCCTTCAGATGTCTTCTAAAAATCAGATTGTTGTTTCTTTCCTTGACATCGGATGGGAGGGTGTTGCACAGGGCGGGCGCTACTACCAAGAAGGCCCTCTGCCTGGTTCAATGTAGCTTCACTTCTCACAGTGAGGGAACCGCCAGAAGGCCCTCGGAGCTGGACCTCAGTGTCCAGCTGAATGATGGAGTTGGAGATGCTCCTTTAGGTACTTCGCAAATGTACCTTTTCTTTTAGGAAGAGAAGTATGAATAAATATTTGAATAAGAGAGGGAAGGGCCAGTGTGGTGTAGTGGTTAGAGTGTTGGACTAGGGACCTGGGAGACCAGGGTTCAAATCCCCATTCAGTTATGAAGCTCAATGGGTGAACTTGGGCCATTCACTGCCTCTTAGCCTAACCTACCTCACAGTCTTGTGGGGATTAATGAGGAAGGGGAGTGTTGGTTGGTACAGTGGAACCTTGGTTCTCGAATGCCATGGTACTCAAACATTGCAGCTCCCAAACACCAAAAACCCAGAAGTAAGTGTTCAGGTTTTCGAACCTTTTTAGGAAGCCAAATGTCTGATGCGGCTGTCTCCTACTGTTTCCAGGGTGCCTGCACCAATCAGAAGCCACGCCTTGGTTTTTTAATATTTCAGAAGTTGAACAGACTTCCGGAACGGATTATGTTTGAGAACCAGGGTACCACTGTACACCTCCCTGACACCTTGGAGAGCAAGGTGGATATAAATGAAATAAATAACAAACAAACATGTCTTCACCATAGAGCTTTACTGAAACCAGGGACCTCCACTTTTAGAAAGAATTAGCATACATACAAGCAGCTCAATCCTACAACTGTTTGTTCAATGGGGCAGCATAAGTAAGTGTGCATATAATTGCAGCCTTAGTGGAGAAACGTATTCAGTTCTGATTTTTTTTTTTCATACTTAAAAACCCCCTAAAATGAATTCTACAATAGTTTTTCCATAGCTGGTAAAAACGAAGTTGCTCCGTTTAAATGTTCCTCTAACCCACTGTTGTTGTTGTTGTTCATATTATATATAGAGAGAGAGAGAGAGAGAGAGAGAGTTAATTTGTCCGCCTTAACATTATGTTCTGTCTTCCATTCTCATTCAATTCCCTCAAAGAATTCTGGGAGCTGTGGTTTGTTAAATGGGCCGAGAGCTGTTAGGAGGCCCCTATTCCTCTCCCATTGCTACAATTCTCAGAGTTGTATCCCTTGTGAAGAGGGATTGAGTCTTAATTACACAACTGTAGCTCTCAGAGGGGAACAGGGGCTTCTCTCACTCCCTTAACAAACCATAGCTCCCAGAATTCTTTGGGGTGAAGCCATGAATGTTTAAAGTAGCATCATAGAGCTTCTACAGACCTGGGATAGCTCAGTCAGTAAAGCATGAGACTCCTGAAATCAGGGCCATGGGTTTGAGCACCACGTTGGGAAAAAGATTCCTGCATTGCGGGGGGCTGGACTAGATGACCCTAGTGGTTCCTTCCTGCTATTCATAGTCCTCTTCCTAAAAGTGACAGCTCTTGCCAGCTTAGTTAAGCGGATTTTCCCTATTAGAAAGCAGAACTGGTTCAAATATTTTTTAAAAAGCCCTCTGTTGCCTATTAAAGTACACGGGCATCGATGCTGATCTTTTCCTTTTCCTCATGTCTATGTATTTCAGGGGTGAACCAGCTAACTGCACACATATGCATTATTCTCTAGTATATGGCACCAATATATCAGAATACTGCAGATACTAGACTGCAGTTATTATGCAGTAATAATAAACCATAGTTTGATCTGCACTCCCCCCTTCAAAATAAAACAAGTTCCAAAAATGACAAGTTCCAAAAAACTCTAAAACTTGTAAGAGTTAAATGTGCTCTAGGATTTAGATTTGGCACTCTAAAATTTACCTGGCTGCACTTAGCAAGGCAGTTAGGGTGCATCTTAGCAGCCCCGAAGGCTTAAACTACTATATTGTCTTAGTACATTGACTTTAATGCTTCAAAGTATAAAGTTTTCACAATGAAATGTAGTGAAAATTACTTCCAGGAAAGGGTGAAGAAAAGCCTAAGAGAGCTCTTTAAATAACAGTGAAGAAGTTTCTTAATGCACTCCCTTTAACAACACTGATAAATATGTCTCAGAGGAAAAATTAATTGGAAGGGACTGATACCCCCAAGTCAATGCATTTTTTTATCAGAGACCTCCCCCTCAATAAAGACACATTTGACTCAAATTTTAGTTTTGGTTTTTGACAGAATTTAGGCCACAACTTTATTGATTACAGAAAGTGATTGGTTGCATAGTCTCTGGTTTGACTAGCTCCTTACACCCTTGCAGGTAGCGCTGACCCAGGGCTCCAGCATAGATCAGCCAAAGGTGAACACCTGAGGCAGGTGAAAAGCCTGGGAATAGACTCTGTTCACTCCCCAGATGCTCCCCTGGAGTCAGGCACAGGCACAACCCCTTTTCGGGGGTTGGCCAAACCAAATTGAGTCCCTGGATTCATTTAAGGGAATACCCTTCACATAGGGATGGCGAGAGCATTCTCCCATCCCTATCACATGAACCAGTGCCTATCCACAACATTACAAGTTGTGATGAATTGCTACACGGCAGGCGAAACCCAAATGGCAACAGCCAATCAGCCAAGTGGGGAAAATTCCTCCCGTGCCCCTGTTCCAATGACAGATGACACACAATGGCATAGCAATAATCAAGGTAATGTACTATAAAATAAATAAGACAGCATTGCAGATAAAAAAATTAAAAAAAAAATTCTTACCTGCACTGATGATAGTCATTTTTTGGATGGGGGCTTTTATCCATTTCCGCAGTCACACAATCAATCAATCAATCAATCAATCAGTAGCTGAACTGGGCTCCACACAGTCACAAAAACCAATTAACCGAAAAAGCCTCAAAAACAAAAACACAAAATAAATAGCAAAAACAAAAGCGCCAAACTTAACCTATTCCAGAAATCTGTTTGACTTCTGAAATGTTCAAAAACCAAGGTGCAGTTTCTGATTGGTGCAGGCGCCCCAGAAACAATAGCCAACAGCTGCATCGGACATTCAACTTCCAAAAAAAGTTCAAAAACCAGACCACTTAACTTCTGGGTTTTTGGCGTTTGAGAACCAAGGCGTTTGAGAACCAATGTACCACTGTGTGGTGCCAATCCATGAACAGTAACCAAATTTCTATGTGGTGTCATGAAGTGAAGCAGAAGTCTATGGTTCTATGGTTCTTCCTTTTCAAAAAAATACATTGGGTTGGATGCAGATAAAATTAGTTGCACTTCATTCCCATTGAACTCAATGTGAATAGTCAATAAGTGAAGCCACCCTGTTTTCAATGGGACCCGGGTCCAGCTAATTTTCCCTGAATCCAAGTTATAGTTTGCAATGTCTGCATCAACCATTTTAAGGGTTGATAAAAGGAGACAAGAGAACGGTGCCTTGATTCAGACCTCTTGTAAGAGCCCATCCTTGTACAACCCCTAATGCAGTAACAAGTAAAATAACCCTCCAGCATCTGGGATAACACTTATGGATTGGTGCTATATATTTTTAAGTGACACCTGCTGTGATCATCTCGGCATAACTGCAGACTGCTTTAAGCAAATCACAGATGTGCTACATGGTGGAAACAACTGACAGAAATAAATCGCAAGCTGAACTGAAATGAGCTGAAGAAAGCTTAGGGAGAACAAAACAAAAAAAGGAACATGGGTCCTCATTATATTTTAATACTGATAGTGTAATAGATGCTGGACAGGTAACAGGACTTCTTCTGAAAGTCACCTTTGCTTCAGGGAAGTGGACCAACCACTTGGTTGACCTGCCTGTGAGCTATCAAATCTTCTATCCAGCTGGTTGGATAGGTTCCCTTTGCTCAAGTTGTTCTCTTAGATCAGTTGGCCAGTGCTTTGCAAACATTGGTTAATTTATATATGCAACTTTATGCCCCTTCCTGCCAACCTAGCAGTTCGAAAGCACGTCAAAGTGCAAGTAGATAAATAGGTACCGCTCCGGCGGGAAGGTAAACAGTGTTTCCATGTGCTGCTCTGGTTTGCCAGAAGCGGCTTAGTCATGCTGGCCACATGTCCCAGAAGCTGTATGCCGGCTCCCTCGGCCAATAAAGCGAGATGAGCGCCGCAACCCCAGAGTCCGTCACGACTGGACCTAATGGTCAGGGGTCCCTTTACCTTTACCTTTACCTTTATGCCCCACTTCCCTGCATTTGTATCCATTCATTTAGGACACATGGACCAGTATTAACTCCCCAAATTTCCTCATGCACATTTCTCTAATCCCTGATAAGGCATCAAGTGCCTTGACAATTATGAAGCAGAAGAGTAACTGTGATCATTTAAATGTGGTCAAAGACTTGTGTGTGCAGCAGCCACAGTACTTGAATCCAGCATATCTGTTGCTTTGGGAAATAGCCTGATCTGTTTGAGAGCCACTTTTTCTTTCCTATTTGGTGTGTGAATATTCAGGGAGGCAGGAGAGGATACAGTGGACGCTCGGGTTGCGAATGTGATCTGTGCGGGAGGCACGTTTGCAACCCGCAGTGTTCGCAACCCGCAGAGCCGCATCTGCGCATGTGTGGGTTGCAATTTGGTGCTTCTGCACATGTGCGACTGCTGAAACCCGTAAGTAACCCATTCCGGTACTTCCTGGTTTCGGCGCATCCATAACCGGAAAAAACGCAACCTGAAGCGTCTGTAACCCAAGGTATGACTGTATGTTATTAATATACTTCCTAACGTGCGCTAGCAAGTCCCTTTACTTAGCAGAGTTTTGCATTCCCCTTTTAAACACGCAGCAGATAGCTGGTTGCAGGCTTGTGTAAGCCTTTCACTGTTAAGTTCCTGTTAAGTTCTCTTATATCTCTCTTAAAAGAATAAACATGCCACAATCTTGATTAAAGTATATAAAAGACATTTACTCACATCATCAGTTCACAGTTGGATCCCTGAAGGCAGACTTAGTTACAAAGTATATACGTGGATCTATCCCATATGGGGATAATCCCAATGTCCTCTATTGGCTGAAAGCCAACAGAGCATTTTTAGCTAAAAAGCTGCTCCAACGACAGAGGAAGTCAAAGAGAGAGAGAGTGCTGCATGCCTTGTCCTTTTTTGTTACCTGGACAGGTAAGATCATGCCCACCTCTAGTCACATGCAGAGGAAGTATGTCCCAGCCCAGGAGGAAACAGGAAGTTCCTACTGGCTGGACCAAACATCCCCTTGCATGTCCACTCTAGGAAAACAAGGAATGTTGTACTTGACTGCTACTTATGTATCACATCCCACATTTGGTCTGTTATTTCAGACAGAATTAGACCTGCTAAAAACAAAGAGTTGCATTCAACAAGGACTCATTGAAACTGGTCCAACGTTCGTCAAGTCTATTAATTTGAATGGATCTACACTTTGTAGGACTTGCACTGAACACAACTCAAAGCTCAATCCTTTCCCATTCACAATTTCTTTTTAAGGGGTAATTTTTTTTAATGCCCACAACTTTAAAATGGCGATGGAGGGTCTAGGAGCCCCTCCAGACTGGGTTAAGCCTGCCAAATTGTAGGCAAGATGCGTCCAGAGGTTTTCATGCAGGACAGCATTAAAGTTTGATTTCTTAAACAATGGAAAGTTTGACTTCCGGGTTGGCGCCTCCGGCAATGGCGGAGCTCCTCCGTTCGGGAGGAACTTGCTCCGTGAAAAACAGGGTCTGACCGCCACGGCGAAGGTGGAGACCCATTGAAATCACAAGCGGGAGAAGCTTGTGAACCTGGGATTCGGCTGGCACCTTTTGCGCCTCCCTACTCGCGGGGAAACCCTGTTTTGGGGATCCGGAGCGACGTGGGGTGAGTGGCGCGGTGCTTTGAATCGACTGCTTTTTTCACGGAGTGAAGCTGCATTGCTGTTGCCGGAGAGCGCTGACTTTTTCCTGTGGACAATTGGATTTTAAACAACTACTCGTGAGTAAATCGGAAAATTGGATTTTTAAATACTTTAATTTGGCACTGAAGCGGGAGGTCATAAACAGGAAGTCCGCCTCCCGTTTTTGTAAATAGACTGAAGCAAAGACGTTACAAGTTAAAGTCTTTGAAAGCTTTTGGCAAAGGATTAAATTTCCATCGGTTTAAAATACAAAACCCCCCTTGGAAGCAGGAGAAGAGGGGACAATTTTGGATCTAGTGAGCCTGCAGGAGAGAGTGAAAAATCAAATTACCACTGCTCTGAACCTGGGAACGGGCTGCCAGATGACGTTTGGAGAGAGTGCATTTGACAGAACGGATTTGACAGCTAGCTAAATAAGAGTAAGATACTGTTTCCATTGTCCTCCTCTGCGTTTAAAAAAGAGGAAAAGTAACTGAAATTTCATCTTTAATGCTTGAGTTGTGCCTGAAAGAACTGATACAAGTGGAGACTGTTTCCACCCAGAGGGAGCTTTTGAAACTGTTACAGGACTGTAACTGGGGGATTTCCAGCTGCAGATAAGGATTCTGAGAACCAGAAAGCGACCTTGGACCATTTAAAAATGTTGACAGGAGAGGCCATTGTGACTGTTTTATGTAAGATAAGCTGTTCGCTGGATCAGCTTCACAGGAAGATGGATGACATGACTTTCAAAGTTGATAATTTGGAACAGAAAGTGACTAATTTGAATCAAAAAGCGAACATCAACACAGAAATAATTCAGGACTTGGTACAGGAATCCATTTTGGCAGGACAAATGGTGGAGGAGAAGGAGGAGAAGGAGAATGCTGCTGTTGTTGAACATAAAGTTGAACATCAAGTAATACAAGTGAGATCCGTGGCTTTACAGAAGCAAATTGAGGACTATAAGTTGAGGCCTTTTATGATTGAATCTAGGAAAAGTCAGACTCTGAGGAATGGACCCGGCTTGGACGAAAGAAGGAAAGTTGGAAAGATCCCTCTATGCAGGGATTAACTGACTTTTGGGACATGGACTCGGGCCTGGAGGAGATTGAAGTTTTGGGGGCCTTTGGACTTGGAGGAATTTTGAAATATGCCCTGAAATACTTTATGGACTGTAGCTTTAACTATGGAAATTTGGCTGATCTGTTCAGAAGGAAGAAAAGGATTGACAGGTTGGAGTTTCCCCGAGATTTGCTCTTTAGCATTAAAGAAAATGAAGAAGACCTGCAGAAGGGACTTGGAAAAGAGTTAAGAGCCTCGGACATAAGATCACCAGGTTGATGGACTTTATGGAGTTGACGGAAAGGACTGGCAGAATCCGAAACCAGGGAGAGGGGATGGTGGAAGAAGATTGGAAAATTTAAAGTTTATATATAGACTTATGGTAAAACTAATGAGTGATAGAAAAATGGTGGAATGATTTTTTATGGGCTTAGCAGAAATGTTATAAGGAGTTAAGTATATATAAGTATTTTAGTTTTAATGGAAAATAAGGTTAAAAAATACGTTATTTACAATATGATAGAAAATGGAGAAAGATGGAAAGGATTTGCTGAAACAATCAAAAGAAGTGGAATACAAAAAGGGAGGTGAGAGGAGGTCGAGGAAACAAGGGAAGGAAAGATAGAGTACGGAAAAGAGATGATGTATGTTTTTAAATTGTTTTTGTTTTGTTTCATTTAGGGTTAAGGTTAGGGAGTGGGGTTTGTTTAGTTTAGTTTAATGTGTTTAGTTTTGAGTTTAGGTTGTGTTTTGCACTGTTTATATATTGTATTGTATTGTTTTGTTTTTCTTTTTGCTTTCCTTCTTTGTCTTTTTTTCTGTTTTTTTTCTCTTCTTTTTTCTCTTTTTGTAATCTATAAAAGTAATAAACATTATTTTTAAAAAAATTAACAATGGAAAGTTTGTTTTCTGACAGAATTGGGCATGGTTTGCAGACATTATTAAGGAAGAGAAGAGGGCGTGCACACAACATTCCATGTTCTTGCTTTGGATAGTGACCATTGACGTTCTGGATTTGAGGCAGATTATCCTAAGGAAGCAAAATCAAAGCTCAAAATGAGGCTATTACACGTAGCACATGACTACATACAGTACTTCCGCTAAGCTACCATTCAGTGCAACCCAGAGCACAGTACAATTTAATTTGGTCTTATCATTAAGCAACTTCTCAAATAACTCATTCTTGAGTTCCATCACATTAACAATATATTTCTGAAAGGATCCTCTAGAGCATTGCCTCTTTTTATATATATATATATATATAAAATTAATATTTGACAGTTCCTTCTACAGAAAGGAAAGAGCATTTGAAATAATGTTGGGTATTTTGCCAAGTCTGTCAAATGAGTAACACTTCCAGTTTCTCAGTTCCGTCTCATTAAAATTGTATTCTAATTCTGCCTCAGCTTGGTCTCTTTGCTTCATAAGTCATTGCCTGCTTATTACTTCTACTGTGAGAGATGAAATTTATTCTAACCTGATAGCAAGGATAAAGAACGGAAAGACAGGCAGCTAGGAGAAGTGAAATTAGCTTATTCTAATGCTTTTTTGAAAAGGCTTCTTCATAGCCACGGGTTACA